CCAGTGTCAATATTTCGACGTCGCGACGTCGGTTCCGCGCTGGCTCTATCCGCGCGCACACGCCGCCGTTGCATTATTCTCGGGGAAATTGCTCGGAATTCCCGGCCGCCCCGGAATTCGCGGGATTTCGCGACACACGCGAGCCTCGTTACCCGGAAGACGCGACCCCCTCGCGTACAGCGCCTCGCGGAGACAGCGAATCGGGATTCTTACTTTCGCGACCAGACCACGGATGTTTATGGAAATTCCCGTGTTACGGGGCCCGAGCCGTTCGACAAAGGCCTCGGTAAATACTTTTTCTCCTCGGCCACGGGGGAGTATAAAATCCGCATTCGGCGGTTTATTAAAATTTTAATCTCGCCGGACTTCGTTTAAGACAGTCCGCAAGAGCGGGCTCTGAGGTTCTCAGCCGTGAATCTTAGTGTAACGCGATGGCGTTTGCAAGTCTGTCCGCGGAGAGGTTATTTTCCGTGATGTAAGCTTGAAGTTTGGTAGCTGGAGCTTAGCCTTCGGGAGACTTTTGAATGGAGCACGGTTTTAATAATAGAAGTTGGGCGACTAGAACTTCCAACGGGGAAAGAACGAGGCGCGAGCGTTTCGTGCGTAATTAAAGGAATATTGTAAATTACAGCTCGCGTCCGACGGTTTGGCCTATTTCACGGCCGACGAATGCCGCGAGCTCGAAGTTTGAAGCGGTGATGTATTCCGCATGGTAAGCAGCGCGGAGAGTAAGAAAACGTCTGAATAAGGCCAGCCGGATCGAGGAAAAAAAGAATTCCGGCAGTTCAGAGACGGCAGTGCGCTTTGTCACGCCCTCTCGGGACCCATCCCTCTGTCATAAAATAAAGCGGCAGCCCGGCTCGAGCCTCGCCGCCCCGGTGGGTGATTCGAAACAGATTTTCAATTTGATAGTCTACAGCGGCCGTTGTACTTCACGCCGCTTCCCAAGGTAATTCTCCGAAAAAGAGAAGCTGCGCTTGCATCGCGGCGTTGAGCGACAAGGTATCGTTAAAAATTCAATCCGGTCGCGAATGAAAATCCGGCCGGTCGTCGCGCTGGAAATATAGTGACGTGTCAACAGGGGCGCACTTTCGAGCGTCGCTCGGCGAGGAAACTCGGGACTCTAAGGAAACGTATTCCGAATACGGGTCAGGCCCGTCGTATTCGTGATTTCTAGTAAATACACGCAGCTTGTTAAGAGAACTTTGGCCATTTCGTTAATCGCGTGGCTAAACGAATTCTTTTATCATCGAGAGTTGTTAAGAAGTTTGAACTTCGAATCGTTCGGAATAAATGTTTATCCGAGGCATATTCTTCATTCCACTCGAAGAACAGAAACTTTCGCAATTACCGCAACATTAGGATACAAGTGATTTACTTTAATCCTCGATTCCACTCGCAGTTCTATCGAGCATTGTATCCTGAGACAAAACGCAACGTCGAATGGGAAAAGTACCGACACACCGAAGATTTTCATAACACTGATACGACACTCGATGAAACCAGCGGAACACTCGTATTAAAAGCAACTTCGAGCAACGAATAAATAATCGCGCGATTAAATTCTCATTTGAATAAAT